GCTGTGGGCAGTTCCCACATGCAGGTCAGGGACTGAGAGAGTGCAGGATGTGCAGAGGTGAGTGTACGAGGAAGTGGAAGAGGCTGGGGGTGCTAGCAGAGCTGAGGGTAGGGGCGGGAGCTGAAGACAACAGAGGTGAGGAGTAGCTGTAGATCCTTGAAGATGTTTGCCAGAAACCCCTCTACTAGAGCAGCACATCCAGGGAGGTCAAGGAAGAAAGCAACAAAAATGAGCAGCATGTTGTATGGACTGAGGACAGAATGAGATGTATGTTCGGTAGGTCCCAGGGGAGGTGACTGCAGTATCAAGGGGAAAGCACTAGGGAACTCAATGAGAAATTAAACTGTAGGGATGGAAAAAGAGACTGGGAGAAGTGGAGAAGGAAGAAGCAGAAGGAGTTTGGCAGGGGCTGGGGGTGTGGAGAAAAAGGACTCAAAAATACCCACCCAGGCAAACACCACTGAGTGAGAGGGAACTGTGGTAGAAAGCCACCTTTGTTTCCCTCCCAAAAACTCAGCTCTGTGACAATTTTAATTAGGATGGACGCAGCCGAGAGACACATCTTTACCCTATCTCTTTAGGTAACCTGAGCTGGATACATTCCTAAGGGAGGGGGGAAACCTGCTCTCTCTGCCATGACTGGTGTCACATACCTGGGTGAGGGACTTCCCTCCTGGTGGGCTAGAGTCTGCCTGGCAACTAGGGATGTATTTCAAATTGGTTGGCTGACGGCCAACAGGTGCTGGCCTCCATTGGACCAGGTAAATGAGGTCACAAGGGCTATATAAGTTAGGGCCTGCCGGGGAGGAGGGGCAGCAGCCATGAGGGATACTCAGGAACAAAGAAGAGCTGGACCATCTGAAACTTGCCCTCTCTCTCTCAAAACTCATGATCAAGGAACTGCCTGCCTCCAGAGGGAATCTCCAACAGCCTCTGGATGATACTTGTGAATAAGCTAACTGAGACCCAACTAGATATATAGCTTGCAGTAACTCAGGTGCGAGATCAAAGGCTACCCCAGCCACAGGAGTTTGCTCTATGGGATTTCTCTGATATTGCTCTACCCTGTACCCTATTCTAACCCTACCCTCTGTAACCAATAAAGTTCTCCTTTGTACCTAGTGTGGGAGACTTATTGGGAGTGGGTCTAGATTATGCCTTGGGGTCCCCTTGGTTTGGCTGACTAAGGGAGACCACTATATGTGCTTCTGACTGAGGAAAGCATCCCGACTTCTTGAAGTGAATAGAGTTCCCTTGAGGGCTACTAGGCCTGTGTTTCCAAGAGTGTGCAGAGCCCAAATTAAGTCCAGAGCTCTGGGTGGTGGCAGTGGAAACCCCAGGCTAGCGGGTGTGCTCCAGGAAGGGGGTCGGACGGAGGTGAGGCACCCCAGGGAGGACACTCGGAGCCTGGAAGGTGGTCGGGCACAGGGAGGTGGGTGGCTCCATGCAGGAGCGCCCCCTACTGACCCGACACAGAGACCACAGCCAGTGCGGGGCCTTCATCTGGTATCTCTGGTCCCAGGCTGAGCACATTTACACCAGCTGCTGCTTTGCATGTTTCCACCCCAGGGACCTTCCCCTCCTGCTCGGAGCAGATACAAATGGGGAGCGTTGGTGCTTGATCGGTTTATAGCACTCAGCTGAGAAGCATCGGGATGAAGTCTCACGCTCGGCTCCTCTGGCTCGTCCTGCTCTGGATTCAGGGTAAGAACAGCAACAGCCCAGGGAGACTTTTAAGACCCTTGGAAAGCCTGATGAGGCCCGAAGCAGTGGTGACTTTGACTCAGGTCTCTGGCTGTGGGGCACAATCAATATATCCCGTAAATAGGTGGTTTTCATTCACTGATCGAGAGACGCTGGAAACAGCAATGCCTGAATGCATGTTCAGCAACTAAATAGTATAAAGGAAAAGAGAGCAATGCAGCAACAATCACATTTATTTTGTTCCTATTCCCTAACATTTGGTCTATTTGAATTCTCTCCCCCACACAGGCTCCAGCGGGGACATTGTGATGAACCAGACTCCAGAGTCCCTGGCAGTGTCGCCAGGAGACACCGCCACCATCACCTGCAAAGCCGTTACATACAGTGGTAGCAACATAGCCTGGTACCAACAGAAATCAGGACAACCTCCTAAGCTTCTTATCTACAGCACAAACTCGCGGCCCTCCGGGATCCCCGACCGGTTCAGTGGCAGTAGGTCGGGCAGTGACTACACTCTCACCATCAGCCGGGTGGAAGTAGGCGATGCTGGCGACTATTACTGTCAACAGTATAGCAGTTCCCCTCTCACACAGTGATACAGGCCATGACAAATACCTCCCTGCTGGGTTCAGCTTCTCTTGCTCACTCAAACAGCTGCTTCCTGCACACACTCACTGCCTCACACCAGTTACTTCTCGCTCATATGGCAGGATCTGCCAGCCTGTGAGCACTTTGTCCTACGCATTACTCTCTCACTCAGTTCATTGACTCCAGCCATGTTGTGTTCTGGCTCATTGCACGGCACTCAGCACTTCCTCCCTCTGTCTAAGGCATTTTGGCTCTATAAGATGATACCAAATCCCCCAGACCTTAACTTATGGCTAGAAAATGGACTATAGAGGTTTGCTTTTGGTAACTGGCTCACAGGTAAAGTAGATATGCATTAAAATAATGGTCCAGGGCAACAGCAATGGTTAATTGATTTCTAAAAGACAGTCTGTGACAAAGTTTCTTCATGGCCTACTTTGTGTGAGACTCATGACTCAACGGTACATGGCTCAAGCTGGGAATTGAAGCCATGTACCACTCGGTTCCATAACATGAGATAAGGTGGCACCAGGTCTCAGTACCCAACTGTAGGACCCTTGGGCTTTCCAGCTTTGGGGGAACAGACCAAATTAGGAGAAGACTGATAAAGCCCAAATTAGGATGTGTGCATGTGATGGGTTTGTGAAACAAAGAATGATGCTGACAGGACAAAACATGGACAGTATGATGACCACAGAGTGAGACCAGTTAGTGATGGCCAGACATTAAGAGTCATCAGGATGGGGAAAGAATACAGAATAAGGGATTGCAGAGAAGCAAAGGGTCCCCAGGAGGGGAACCCAAGGCCACCCTGGAGAGAGGGCATACCACCAGCCCGTCTCACCCACCCCACTGGGGGCAGCGGGGCTCGGCCTCTGACCTCCAGGCTGCTGACATCTGACATTCAAGAGAGAACCTGAGAGTGAAATTTACACGCTGCCCAGACGTACCTCGACTGTGATGCCAGCCCTAGGACTGGTAGATATGGAATTGTTTTCATTACTCTTATCAACCACAAGCCTACTCCTCTCCTGCTGGTTTTCCTCAAAGAAATGTGTCCCACAGAAACATTCGGACCCCACGAATAACATTACATGCACTAACCGCCCAGTTTGCTACAGACAAGTGTTGACCTATGTTATAGCAAAAGCAAAGCTTTCTTGCACTATCAACTGCCTAAATGCATCATGAGGCTCCTTCAAATATTGATTAACTCTCAGTGGGTGCATCTACACGTCACCCTACAGTGACATTGTGAAGAACTATGTCACCACACGGTGCACTATGGTGACATGGAGATCACATGGGTCTACACACGATTGCCATCTACTTCCCCGTAGTGGCGTGCTCCCCATGTATAGCAAACAGATATGGTGATGTAGAAGGAAAATCTTCCCATGAGCCACTGATATGGTGCAGTACGAGCGGTTACTGCATTGTGTTTTAGTACTTCCTTTTGGAAGTACTAAAACACAGAGTAGTAACAACAACAGCATATGGCAACGTGCAGACAGTTGATCCGTGATAGACGACCAGGCACTTGTGGTTGCATCCAGGAGAGGGCAGTAACACCCTAGCACTGCCGGGTTGACAATTAGGCATGTGTTGCATTTCAAGCATTTCATTGCTTCCCCTCCACCCCCTACTAAACAATCTGAAATGATACACACTGTCAAATCTCTGCACAGAAACTACAATTATCCTGGATGAAATCCTTCCCCTAGTGGCACTAGTGACTGTCTCAGAGCAACAGATGGAATCTGAACTGCCAGAGGGAACAAGTTTGGCTGCCGGAGCCTGGTCGCAGCAAAGCCGTTCCCTAAAATTGCAGTTAAATGACTGGAAAGAGCTCTAGGTGCTCAGCTATTCCAGTGCTGCAGGCCACCAACATGTACAAAGACTTTATAGTATTACCAGTGGTGCACATTCTTCTCTGACCTGGGGGAAATGTTGTTTCCATTAAAGATGACCTACCCAAAGCCAGGGATTAAATACAATATTCTCCAATTTCTCCAAATCAGAAGAATTGTAAGAGAAATAAGCACCTTGTACATATCCACTTCTTACCCAAATGACCCTGAAAATCTTCATCAGTAGACACAGTATTACATTACACTTAGTGCTACGTGGTTTTTGCTCATAAATTCCAGATCTTTTATGAAGCACAACATGGAATCATAGAATGATTACTCTTATCAACCACAAGCCTTAAAAGATGCACCAATCCGGCCTGGGAAAACCTATGATTTGGGATGAGTATCAACTGCCCCTTCCCAGTTCAGAAGCACAGTCCCCATCTCATGAGACTGGACAGTCTGCTGAAATCCTGCCACCATCCAACAACTGATGGACTCTGCCCCACCAGGACGAGCAGGTCTGGCAGCAGGAGCCCAGATACCAGGACAAACCCCCATAACACTGCAGTTAGACACCTGGAAGCTCAAATTCCTCGGCCCTGGGCACTGAGCTGACACACAGGAAGGGCCGTTGCCTGCTTTCAGCTGAGCGTCTCATTCTCACTGCCAGCCACGGCAGCACAAGACTCAGACAAGGGCTGCGCATGGTATCTTCCTGCACCATGGCTGAGGAAAAACACTGCTAGACACAGCAGCTGCTTTGCATGTTTCCACCCCAGGCCATTTCCCTCCTATTCAGGGCACAGATAAATGGCGCCTTCCCATGCTGCACACGCTCATGCTTGTCAGTCTGCAAGGACCAAGATGATCTCACACACGCATCTCCTCTGGCTCCTCGTGCTCGGGGTTCAGGGTAAGAATCATCCTTGGGGAGAGATGGGTTTCAAACCACATCTTGGGGTCAGGTTTAAAAATGTTATGATCTCAGCACTTGGACAATGCAAGAGGCACACAAAAAGCAAGAGACAGATGGATGAAACTGGAGACAGCAACAGACTCTCACATTTTTCCTTTTATCTTGTTTCTCATGCAGGCTCCAATGGGGACGTTGTGCTGATTCAGACTCCAGAGTCCCTGACGGTGGCTCCTCAAGACACAGTCACCATCACCTGCAATGCCGGTTCATACACTAGTAGTAGCATAGCCTGGTACCAACAGAAATCAGGGAAATCTCCTAAGCTTCTCATCCACAGCACGAGCTCCCGTGCCTCTGGGATCTCAGACCGCTTCAGCGGTGCTAGGTCAGGCAGTGACTACACTCTCACCATCAGCCGGGTTGAAGCAGGTGATGCTGGAGATTATTACTGCCAGTACCATGGTAATACCCCTCTCACAGTGATACAGACCCATACAAAAACCTCCCTGCAGGCTCCATTGATTCACTTAAGCAGCTGCTTCCTGGGGAGACTCACAGCCTCAGTGCTGTCACAACCCAAAGTTGTGATTTGTTGTTTGTGTGTGCTTCGGCAACGCTAAATTATGTTCCCGCCTAAATTGCAGCTTCTTTGCACGGTGGAGTTTTCTGCTGCAAAGAGAACCCGCATGCAAAACAGTATTCCCGTCAAGTTGTAGCCTTCTTTGCATGGTGCATTTCTTTTGCATCATAGTGATGCACGGTGCAAAGGAGTTCCCGCCATTTGTGTTTAGATTCGCGCCACATTATTGGCCGGTTCTAAATGTAGGCATACGTGGCGGCTAGCTATTGGCTTGCTAGCCGTACAAAAGGCTTGGGTAGTTTCCGCCCAAGTCGGAGAGAGAGGAAACCTGGAGAGATACAGAACTCGCCAGGAGGAGGAGACTTCGCACTGTGCGAAGATCTCCAAGTGATGTGGACCCTTGCGGACCCAACGCACCTTTCTTAAGCAGGCAACGGAGGTCTGATCAGCCTCTAGCCTCTCCCCATCACCGAGCACAATCCTAGACGTATCCCTATCCTATATACCCAATTTTTGAACCCACGGAGTCTTAACAGCTCCGGGGGACCTGGGAACCGAACAGAACCCACAGAGATTCAGCCACTCTGTGAGGAAAGAATTGCCGAACTCGCGGAGCCTAAACCACTCCGGGGTCAAAGAAATCTGCGCCTGGAAAGCTGTCCAGCCTACACCGCGACCACCTTGGGTGTAAGTAAATAATCTTTTCAATCAACCATTATGCCTCCGTAACTGATTCTAGCTCACGTGTACCTTACCGCCCTGCGGTTTTCTCTGGCCCCGTGTGCCCGGGCTGCTGGCCACAGTCCGTGTGCGCAAAGATGGGCCCCGGCTCGCACATGGCGAGGATGGGATCGGGAGCCGGCCCGCACAAGTGCAACCCACTGCTGGGCTGAAACTCGAGCCCTACTTCTCTGTCAGCGAAGAGAACTATGCGACTAACCGCCAGCACTCATCCGATAGTCAGGCAGAAGCTTTAGTGACTCCAGAATTATCCATTAAACACAAAGCAATTCATCAACTGTGGTTGCCTGTATACAAGTAGTCAACTTTACTGGGATTGCCAGAATATAAGCAGGCAGTTACCAAAAACTGAGCGCATTAACGCAACTTCTTACCACTTTACAGTCTCTCTAGGGCTGTTACTCAGGAGGTACTTTCCACAGTCGGCCCTAGTGGGTGAGCTTCCTGGGTTGTGCTGCTGTTTTAAGTCTGAAGGGTTTATCCTCCTTTACAAATTCATGCAGGCGTCTCTCTCAGAAACCCATGCAAGGGATTTGCACACAGCAAACAGGGAACAGCGAACAGCAACACTGACTTCACTTGACTTAGGCTACTTAACCCTTTAGTGACATCACCAGTATCAATGCTAGCCAAGCTTGTTATGTAATATTTCGGCTTATAGATTCCTTACAAACCTGGAATATTTTTTCTGTTATTTTCCTCTTTCCACATTAATTAGTCCCAACGCTTACCACATTATCATCTTAATTCATGGTTCTATTGTTCCATTGTTTTGGATGTTCCCTGACATTTTCCTGGGGTTAACTGTAGGCCGCAATCACTGCCAATTCTGAATTATCTCGAAAAGCCCTCTGGGAGTTTAGTCACCTTGTCATGACCAGATTCGATTTTTCTTGCTACACCCACTGCTGCCCATGGACAGAGCAGCTGGGAGTCTCTCGGGATCCAGCTCCACACCCTATACTCCAGATCACCCTCCATCTCTTCAGGAAATGAAATTTATGAGATATTTTGATCTGATTTTGAGACATTCAGTGAAACACCCTCAGCACCAGGCGTTCTCCTGTGGCAGCTAAAGTGCCTCTGTGTTTCCTTCCCAATGCATTAACAAAGTGAAGCATAAAACTATGTGACCTGAAAAAGGCACTGTGAAGTAGTACGGGCATCCAGAGCTCCATGATGCCTGTGTCAGTGATGAGCAGTGACCTGGTGCCCCTTTAGTCCTTCCATATACAAAATATGTGCTTCAAGTTTGCTATGCCCCACTCTGCTGGGATGGGATTGTGCTGATTCAGTGCATAAGGGGGTTGTAGAGTCATATTGTCATAGAGAAGCAGGGCTGGAGGTCATCTGGTCCAAGCCCTCGCCTCAAGCAGGATCATCCCTATCAAAACTATCATTCTGCACAATGCAGGGCCTTTCCCCTCCAGCAGCACCATGGCCACAAAGCACAGGGTCAGACTGCCTGTACCTTACATGTTGGTGCGATACACTGCAAGGTTCTCAACCTCCCCACCATAAGTTTATGATAAGCAGGGGAAAAAACATTGCTGACCTCATGGAGGAACACCTCAAGAGGCTGGATACCTTTAAGTCAGCCAGCCCTGACAGTTTACACCCCAGGGTACTCAAGGAGCTGGCAAGCATCATAGCCCAGCCCCTGGCACGGATCTTCGAGAACTCCTGGAGCTCTGGTAAAGTGCCTGAAGGTTGGATGAAGGCCAATGTGGTGCCTAGCTTCAAGAAAGGGAGGAAAGTGGATCCAGCAAACGACAGGTCCATCATCCTAACCTCCATCCCTGGGAAGGTCTTGGAAAAGATTATCAAAGAGCCCATCCTGAAGATACTGGCTGATGGCAGCATCCTGAGGGATAGCCAGCATGGGTTTGTTGTGCGTAGGTCTTGCTTGATCAATCTTATTTCCTTCTACAACCAGGTGACCTGCGACCCAGATAGGGGAGAAGAGATTGATGTTATATATCTTCACTTTAAAACGCCTTTGACCTGGTATCCCATGATCACCTCTTGGCAAAACTGGCCAACTCTGGCCTCAGTCTCACCACAATCCTCTGGCTGGGGAATTGGCTCTGTGGTCGCACCCAGGGGCTGCCGGTTGATGGAAGTCAATTGTCAATTGTCGTGATGTTTATTGTATTTCTTAAAATACAATTGGGTTGTATAAATAAAGTGTGAAATCATTGTGAAATCATGCAATTAGCTGAAAATTTCCCCAGCCAGTGCATCAAAGGAATCAGTAAGTTGTGTGGGATACTCTCTATTCCATAACCCACTAGAGACATGTGTGTCAATAACATTTGCCTATTATCAAATGGAAAGGTCATGGTCAGTCGGAGGGTTTGGGTCTGCCTGGGACAAGGTATCTGGGTCATAAATGCAGTGACAACATGGACAATTAATTAATGCACTGGATTGTGTAAAACAGAGATTATGGACCAGGCTGACACAGCCAGGGGGGTATTAAGATTGATAGGGGTCCTGGGTCCATGCCCTCCCCTGCCCCTGCACCCCAACCTGTTCCCTGCCCCACAACCGCGGGCTCCATTCCCAGATGGTGCCCTGGGAGAAGCAGCCAGAGCACTGCCCCCAGGCCTGGGACACAAGCCAAGCTCTTTCCCCACCATGTGCCCCAAGGCTAGCATGTAGTCACCACCGGTCACAGACCCAAGCTAGGTCTCCAGATCCTGGTGCAACAGTTGCAGCCTCCCAGCTGTCTGCCACCTTCAACCCAGACTGAGCAGCTGCTGCCTGCCATAGAGCCCGGGCTGCTCACAGCAGGGTTTGCATTTTCCCACTGCCTTCTGCACATAGCCTGGGCTCTGTGGCCAGTGGTGGCTGCTCAGAGCCCCGCGCAGCTCTGGGGTGCCAAGTAAAATGTCTCCACCTGACATGCTCTGGTACACGTGTCAGGGTTTGCCATCCCCTGAGCTACAGTCCCAGGTAGCTACCGAGCCCAGCATTGTATGCAGAGCCTGGTCAGCGCTGTCACAGTAGGGAACCACCAGCTGGGTCTGAGCAGGCTGATATCACAAGTCTGGTCTGAACCGATGAGGGCAACCACAAGCCTACTCCTCTCCTGCTGCTTTTCCTCAAAGAAATGTGTCCCACTGAAACATTCGAACCCCAGGAATAACATTACATGCAGTAACTGCCCAGTTTGCTACAGACAAATGTTGTGTAACAAAACCAAATCTTCCCCACACTGTCAACTGGCTAAATATGTCATGAGGCTCCTTCCAATATAGATTAACTCTCAGTGTGTGTATCTAGATATCACCCTACAGTGACATTGTGAAGCACTATGTCACCACACAGTGGACTATGGTGACATGCAGATCACATGGCTCTACACATGATTGCTGTCTACTGCCATGTAGTGGCATGCTGCCCATGTATAGCAAGCAGATATGGTGATGTAGAAGGAAAATCTTCCCATGAGCCACTGATATGGTGCAGTACGAGCGGTTACTGCATTGTGTTTTAGTACTTCCTTTTGGAAGTACTAAAACACAGAGTAGTAACAACAACAGCATATGGCAACGTGCAGACAGTTGATCCGTGATAGACGACCAGGCACTTGTGGTTGCATCCAGGAGAGGGCAGTAACACCCTAGCACTGCCGGGTTGACAATTAGGCATGTGTTGCATTTCAAGCATTTCATTGCTTCCCCTCCACCCCCTACTAAACAATCGGAAATGATACACACTGTCATTCTCTGTACAGAAACTACAATTATCCTGGGTGAAATCCTTCCCCTAGTGGCACTTGTGGCTGTCTCAGAGCAACAGATGGAATCTGAACTGCCAGAGGGAACAAGTTTGGCTGCCGGAGCCTGGTCGCAGCAAAGCCGTTCCCTAAAATTGCAGTTAAATGACTGGAAAGAGCTCTAGGTGCTCAGCTTTTCCAGTGCTGCAGGCCACCAACATGTACAAAGACTTTATAGAATTACCAGTGTCGCACATTCTTCCCTGACCCAGGGGACATGTTGTTTCCATTAAAGATGACCTACCCAAAGCCAGGGATTAAATACAATATTCTCCAATTTCTCAAAATCAGAAGAATTGTAAGAGAAATAAGCACCTTGTGCATATCCACTTCTTACCCAAATGTCCCTGAAAATCTTCATCAGTAGACACAGTATTACATTACACTTAGTGTAGTCAGGACAGGGGAAAAGAGATTGATGTTAAATATCTTGACTTCAAAAAAGCCTTTGACCTGGTATCCCATGCTCACCTCTTGGCAAAACTGGCCAACTGTGGCCTAGGTCTCACCACGATCCTCTGGCTGGGGAATTGGCTCTGTGGTCGCACCCAGGGGGTGTTGGTTGATGGAAGTCAATTGTCGTGGTGTGCGGTCACCACTGGGGTCTCCCAAGGCTCTGTCCTTGGACCTGTATTCTTTAACATCTTCATTAATGATGAGGGCATTGCTGCCAGAAGCAAACTGGCCAAGTTCACTGACAACACCAAACTCTGGGCTAAAGCGTCCACACCTGATGACAGGAGGGCGATGCAGGCTGGCCTCGACACGATCAGGAAATGGGCGGATGAGAACCTGATGGTATTTAACACTGAAAAATGCAAGGTTCTCCACCTTGGGAAGAAAAACCCGTGGCATGTTATAGGCTTGGCACTGCGACGCTGGCTAGCACTATGGACAGAAGGGACTTGGGGGTCATGATTGACCACAAGATGAACATGAGCCTTCAATGTGATGCTGCAGCTAGTAAAGCAAGCAAAATGCTGGCTTGCATCCATAGATGCTTCTCAAGCAAATCCCGGGATGCCATTCTTCTGGTGTACTCGGCCTTGCTGAGGCCACAGCTGGAGTACTGCGTCCAGTTTTGGGCCCCACAATTCAAGAAGGATGTGGAGAAGCTTGAGAGAGTGCAGAGAAGAGCCACGTGCATGATCCAAGGTCACGGAAACAGACCTTACGATGAGAGGTTAAGAGCCATGGGACTCTTCAGCCTGGAAAAGCGCAGGCTCAGGGGTGATCTGGTGCCCACCTATAAGTTTATCAGGGGTGCTCACCAGGATCTGGGGGAACATCTGCTCACCAGAGCGCCCCAAGTGTTGACAAGTTTGAACGGTCACAAACTCCTACATGACAGTTTCAGGCTGGACACAAGTAAAAACTTTTTTACTGTACAAGCCCCCAAGGTATGGAAGAGCCTGCCACCGGTGGTGGTTCAAGCACCCACTTTGAATGCCTTTAAGATGCATTTGGATGTTTATCTTGCTGGGATCCTATGATCCCTGCTGACTTCCTGTCTTTGGGGCAGGGGGCTAGATTTGATGATCTTCCGAGGTCCCTTCCAGCCATAGCGTCTGTGAATCTATGAAACAGAGCCCCTTATCCCCGTTATTGAGTGCAGGTTGAAAGCTGAAGTGAGTCAATGTGTAGAGCTCTAAGCCACCAAGGAGGGTACAGGCTGCAGGGCTGTAAGACTGCATGCTGATTAGTAAGGAAAAACCCCAGCCCCGCATTAGGGATGGAGCAAAGATGGAAGGTTGCTAATGAGTAAGGAGGATGTCTAACGCAGGGATCCTCATATCAGCCACTGGACCTCAGTTCACCTCAAAGTTATTCCTACAGTTTGGAGAAAACTTTGATTGTTGGCATTGCTCCTCCCATCTTCACTATGCTCACAGCAACAGAGAAGCTAACAGAGCAGTAGAGACTTTAAAACCGTGACCACTTCAATCCAGAGAGCCACAGCTGGCACTCCTGATGTCAGTGTACACCACCTGCATCAGAAATCTCTCCGCTGAACTGCTCGTGGGATGAAGACTTAGGATGCCAATACCTATGGCACCAATGCAGCTTAACCCCAGATGGCCCAACCTGCCCCTCCCCACTTCCCCCACAGGCCTCTCCCTCCTACACCTCATGCATGCTGGACCCTGATGCAACCCCTTTTTTTCAGTTATTAAAGCATTTTAGAATAAATTTCCCTTGGCCCTTTGCAGAGCAGATATCTTTGGGCAAGTCTGTGTGAACACCCATTCAAGATGCAAAGAGGAGTTCAAAGGCCAAAGAGAAATAGAGAGGGCCACAAGTAATCGAGACTATGAATGAGCACAAACATATACACAGTGGTGCTGGTTTACCATGGTCATTGGACTCTACCTTTACAGGGGTTTCACATGGTTGAGCTCAACATGTTCTGATGGTATCCAATGTTAGAAGACACTAACTGGTGAGTCATTGCACAGCTAAAATATAAAGGCCAAACCAGGCATTACATCCATGTCTGCTTTCACCCCCATTATTAACAGATCTTCTGCTTACACATCCATGCAGTGCTCCTGCCTGCTACCACTCCAACGGTGTTTAGCTCCTCTCAGACCATCATGAAGTGTTGGGTGCTACCCTGGAGGAAGACCTACCTAATAAGACAAGTCATAGGAACATATGAGGACACTTGCGGGGATTAAAGAGACCCTCCAGCAGGACAACTCACGTGGTATTATCAGAGAAGCCCCTTCATGGACCCTTTAAGCAGTTTTAAACAGTCTTACTGAGGGGCTGTGGGCAGTTCCCACATGCAGGTCAGGGACTGAGTGAGTGAGGGATGTGCAAAGGTGAGTGTATGAGGAGGTGGAAGAGGCTAGGGGCGTTGGCAAAGCTGAGGCTAGGGGCGGGAGTTGAAGACAATGAGGTGAGGAGTACCTGTACATCCTTGAAGGTGTTTGCCAGAAACCCCTCTACTAGAGCCGCACATCCAGGGAGGTCAAAGAATAAAACAACAAAAATGAGCAGCATGTTGCATGGACTGAGGACAGAATGAGATGTACATTCGGTAGGTCACGGGGGTGGTGACTGCAGTATCAAGGGGAAAGCACTTGAGAACTCAATGTGAAATTAAACTGTAGGGATGGAAAAAGAGACTGGGAGAAGTGGAGAAGGAAGATGCAGGAGGAGTTTGGCAGGGGCTGGGGGTGTGGAGGAAAAGGACTCAAAAATACCCACCCAGGTGCACACAATTGGGTGAGAGGGGACCACAGCCAGTGCAGGGCCTTCATCTGGTGTGTCTGGTCCCAGGCTGAGCACATTTACACCAGCTGCTGCTTTGCATGTTTCCACCCCAGGGACCTTCCCCTCCTGCTCGGAGCAGATACAAATGGGGAGCGTTGGTGCTTGATCGGTTTATAGCACTCAGCTGAGAAGCATCGGGATGAAGTCTCACGCTCGGCTCCTCTGGCTCGTCCTGCTCTGGATTCAGGGTAAGAACAGCAACAGCCCAGGGAGACTTTTAAGACCCTTGGAAAGCCTGATGAGGCCCGAAGCAGTGGTGACTTTGACTCAGGTCTCTGGCTGTGGGGCACAATCAATATATCCCGTAAATAGGTGGTTTTCATTCACTGATCGAGAGATGCTGAAAACAGCAATGCCTGAATGCATCTTCAGCAACTAAATAGTATAAAGGAAAAGAGAGCAATGCAGCAACAATCACATTTATTTTGTTCCTATTCCCTAACATTTGGTCTATTTGAATTCTCTCCCCCACACAGGCTCCAGCGGGGACATTGTGATGAACCAGACTCCAGAGTCTCTGGCAGTGTCGCCAGGAGATACTGCCACCATCACCTGCAAAGCCGTTACATACAGTGGTAGCAACGTAGCCTGGTTCCAACAGAAATCAGGACAACCTCCTAAGCTTCTTATCTACAGCACAAACTCGCGGCCCTCCGGGATCCCCGACCGCTTCAGTGGCAGTAGGTCGGGCAGTGACTACACTCTCACCATCAGCCGGGTGGAAGTAGGCGATGCTGGCGACTATTACTGTCAGCAGCATAGCAGCTACCCTCTCACACAGTGATACAGACCACGACAAATACCTCCCTGCTGGGTTCAGCTTCTCTTGCTCACTCAAACAGCTGCTTCCTACACACACTCACTGCCTCACACCAGTTACTTCTCGCACATATGGGCAGGATCTGCCAGCCTGTGAGCACTTCGTCCTATGCACCACCTTGTCCCTCAGTTCATTGACTCTGCCATGTTGTGTTCTGGCTCAGCACTTCCTCCCTCTGTGTCTCAGGCATTTTGGCTCCATAAGAAGATTCCAAATCCCCCAGGCCTTAACTTATGGCTAGAAAATGGTATATAGAGGTTTGCTTTTGGGAATTGGCTCACAGGTAAAGTAGATATTCATTAAAATAATGGTCCAGGGCAACAGCAAAGGTTAATTGATTTCTAAAACCCAGTCTGTGACTAAGTTTCTTCAAGGTCTACTGTGTGTGAGACTCATGACTCAATGGTACATGGCTCATGTGGGAATTGAAGCCATGTACCACTCGGTTCCATGACATAATATAAGGTGGCACAAGGCCACAGGACCCAACTGCAGGACCCTTGGCCTTTCCAGCTTTGGGGGAACAGACCAAATTAGGAGAAGACCGATAAAGCCCAAATTAGGATGTGTGCATGTGATGGATTTGTGAAACAAAGGATGATGCTGTCAGACAAAACATGGACAGTATGATGACCACAGAGAGAGACCAGTTAGCAATGGCCAGACATTAACAGTCATCAGGACGGGGAAAGAATACAGAATAAGGGATTTCAGAGAAGCAAAGAGTCCCCAGTAGGGGAACCCAGGGCCGCCCTGGACAGAGGGCACACCACCAGCCCATCTCACCCACCCCACTAGGGGCAGGGGGGCTCGGCCTCTGACCTCCAGGCTGCTGACATGTGACATTCAAGAGAGAACCTGATAGTGAAGTTCACACACTGCCCAGACGTACCTCGACTCTGGTGCCAGCCCCAGCATTGGTAGATATGGAATTGTTTTCATTACTCTTATCTGCTATCACTGTGTGTCAATAAAATTTGCCTTTTATCAAATGGAAAGGTCATGGTCAGTCGGAGGGTTTGGGTCCGCGTGGGACAAGGTATCTGGGTCATAAATACAGTGACAACATGAACAATTAATTAATGCACTGGATGGTGTAAAACAGAGATTATGGACCAGGCTGACACAGCCAGGGGGGTATTAAGATTCATAGGGGTCCTGGGCCCGGGTCCTCCCCTTCCCCTCCACCCTAACCTGTGCCCTGCCCCACAGCCGCTGGCTCCATTCCCAGCTGGTGCAGTATTAGCAGCAGCCAGAGCACTGCCCCCAGGCCTGGGACACGAGCCAAGCTCTTTCCCCACCATGTGCCCTAAGTCTAGCATGTAGTCACCACCGGTCACAGACCCAAGCTAGGTCTCCAGATCCTGGTGCACGTCGCAGCCTCCCAGCTGTCTGCCACCTTCAACCCAGACTGAGCAGCTGCTGCCTGCCACCGAGCCTGGGCTGCTCACAGCAGGGTTTGCATCTTCCCCGCTGCCTTCTGCGCGTAGCCTGGGCTCTGTGGCCAGTGGTGGCTGCTCAGATCCCAGCCCAGCTCTGGGGGGCCAAGCAAAATTTCTCCACCTGACATGCTCTGGTACATGTGCCAGGGGTTGCCAACCCCTGAGCTACAGTCCCAGGTATCTACCGAGCTCAGCATTGTATGCAGAGCCTGGTCAGCGCTGTCACAGTAGGGAACCACCAGCTGGGTCTGAGCAGGCTGATATCACAAGTCTGGTCTGAACCAATGAGGGCAACCACAAGCCTGCTCCTCTCCTGCTGCTTTTCCTCAAAGAAATGTGTCCCACTTAAACTTTCATACCCCACAAATAACATTACATGCAGTAACCGCCCAGTTTGCTACAGACACGTGTTGACCTATGTTATTGTAAAGCCAAAGCTTCCTTGCACTGTCAACTGGCTAAATACATCATGAGGCTCCTTCCAATATTGATTAAGTCTCAGTAGGTGCATCTACACGTCACCCTACGGTGACATAGTGAAGCGCTATGTCACCACACGGTGTACTATGGTGACATGGAGATCACATGGGTCTACACACGATTGCCGTCTTCTTCCCCGTAGTGGCGTGCTCCCCATGTATGGCATGCAGATATGGTGATGTAGAACGGAAATCGTCCCATGAGCCACTGATATGGTGCAGTACGAGTGATTACTGCACTGTGTTTTAGTACTTCCTTTAGTACTTCCTGGGAGAGCTCATGGTCTGGGATAAGCATTAGCTGCCATTTCCTAGTGTTCAAAGCACCATCCCCATGTGGTGAGCCAGGATGTCTGAGGGGACGTCCTGCCCCACCTGGCATCACTGGCAGTCTCAGAACAACTCGTGGATTGTCAGCTGCCCGCAGGGAGCCGGACTTTGTTCTGTGAGGGGTCCTCAGAGAGGGAACAGGCCTGGATATCATACCTGCTGCTCGTGACACTGGAGTTAAACCTTTGGAAGCTCAAAATCCTCAGCCCTGGGCATTGCGCACAGAGACGAAGGACTGTCCTCTGGTCTCATCTGAGCGTGCCATTCTCCCTGCCAGCCTCTTGGTTCAGACAAGGGCCCTCTGCACGGGGGCTGAAGGAGCACCCTGTTTCACAGCTGCTGCTTTGCATGTTTCTCCCTGCAAGGGCCATTTCCTTCCTGTTCAGGGCACAGATAAATGGCACCTTTCCATGCTGACTATACTTGTGCCTGCCCGTCTGGAAGGACCAAGATGATCTCGCACACACATCTTCTCTGGCTCCTCGTGCTCGGGATTCAGGGTAAGAATTGAATTATGAATTAAATTCATTTCCAATAGCAACTCGGTGATGAGATGAACAAATTGTATACACTGACATTCAGACAGGGTGAGAGGTGCAAGGAAAGCAAGATGGAGAAAGATGAAATTGGAGACGTTGATTGGTCATCATATCATTTCTTTTCCTTAAACTTTGTTTTCCCTCATACAGGGTCCAGTGGGGATGTCGTTGTGACTCAGACCCCCGCATCCCTGTCGGTGTCTCCAGGAGACACAGCCACCATCAACTGCAACACCGGTTCATACAGTACTAGTAGCATAGCCTGGTACCAACAGAAACCAGGACAAGCTCCTAAGCTCCTTATCTATAGCAAAACCTCCCGCCCCTCCGGGATCCCCGACCGGTTCAGCGGCAGTGGCTCTTCCACTGCCTTCACTTTCACCATCAGCCGGGTTGAAGCAGGTGATGCTGGAGATTATTATTGTCAGTACCATGGTGCAACCCCTCTCACAGTGATACAGACTGGTACAAAAACCTCCCTTCAGGCTTCATTGGTTCATTGCTGCTTCCTTGAGCGCACCCAACTTCTGCCAACGGACCACTCAGCTGAGATTCTCTACCGCTCTATCGCTGCACCCCGCACTCCTCATCTTTCCAGGGCAGCGGTTCTCAACCAGTTTGCCATGAGACCCTTTCAGGTTGCTGTGTCTTGGGCTCAGCTGCTGCCATCAGTGCCAGGTAAAAGTGTGCTGCATGCCAGGTGCACTACCGGACTAGGAATGGCTGCGGTACCGACACATATTCCTCCTGCGTTCAGCTTCTCTGATTAGCCCAAAACAGGCAGGAGAACCCTTTTGTGCTTCAGCCCTTCCCAGTCTCCCCCCACCCCACCTTCCTGGAAACAGGTGCACAGAGCATTTCTACCAGCCATAGCTGAGAAGCACTGAGGCAGCACAAGGGTGGTTCCCAACCAAGTCACCTCCTAATTCAGAAAACTTGTGGAGGGGAGCCCCGACTCCTAAGAGGTTGAGCCCCACTGCTCTGCAGGTTTCTACAGCCCTGCAGTCATTGCACAAATAAGGAATTTAGAGAAAGCCTCCGAGATTGCCATTGCACCTGCTTCGGGGGACACCCCACAGTTGGAGAAATGCAGCCATCAGCCCTCAGGGACAGCAACCCCTCTAGCACATTAAAGGAAAAGGAAAATCATATTTGAAATCCAAATAAGAATGAGAGGCTTTTTCTGTTGCTCAATATTACAAGTTTCAGAATTTTGTTTCCAAATTTCACAAACGCTAATTGAAGATAAGAATTTCGAACACCCTAACCCCTACCCAACAACTAAAACATCCTCCCCACACCAGCTGGACCCTGAAGGAACACCATGGGCCAGTCAGAGCAATTTAGGATTAATTTCCTCTCTGCTCTTTGTAATACAATGCTCTTGGGCAAGGCTGTGCGAACACCGATGCATTGGTGTAGAGCTTGTGGAAGAAGTAGAAACAGTAAAAAGAAACAAACTGGGAAAATCAGCAGTGAGACATGAGAAGGCTTTTAAACAGGGCAGTAACAGAGCTGCTCCCAAGGTGTTCACATGAAAAAGCTTGATTCTTCCTTGCCAGCATTCCTAGGTCGGCATTGTCCTCTGTAAAACATGGGGGCTCAGGCTGCCAGGTTGATCAGTGGCATCTTACACCTATGCTACGCAGTTGTAAATGGACGGACAATGAGCACAGCATGGGGCAAGAATCAAGTCCCTCATCCTCAACCTACTACCACACCTTAAAAAAACTACAGAGAAGTGCTGTATTCCCACAGTGATGGGACTGCTGATTTAGAGGCTTCATTCTGATGAGTTCACCTGAGTGATACTGGCCCTTCACTGGTGTAGAGGTATGGAACAAAACTTAAGTTGTGAGTCAACATACAACTTTAACACATGAGCCATACCAGCCACTACAGTCATGTCTGAAGTCATCCCTGCTATAACTTGTGCTCACACATCCATCCTATTGCTCCGGCCTGGTACCACTCATGGTTTGATAAGTCCTCCCAGACCTTCACAAAGAAGGATAGTCATAGAGATCCCCCCAGCAGCAGAATAGGAGAAGTGAGATTATCAGAGGGATGCAATCATGGGCACAGAAGCAGTACATGGAGGAGCTGTGGGCAGGTCTGTTATGCATATCAAGAGCTGTAAGAATGAAGGTGCAGAAATGAATGATGCATGAGATGCCTCCATAGAGATGGCAGGAGAGGTGGATACTGGCAGAGCTGAGGGTCTGGAGCAATACTCTGAGATAAGGCAGGTAAGGCACTGCTATGCAGGTCCTCGAAGGTGTTGGCCAGAAGCTCTTTCCTGGTACAACAGCACAGTCAGACCTATAGAGAGCAGAGAAAAGAGGAACAAATATTAGCAGCTTTTTGTATGGACCAAAGGTAGGACCCATGTATGTGCTTGTGAAATCAGAGAGAAGGATGCTGCAGTAAGCAAAGGGGACTAGGGGGTTAGGGGACTCAGCGAGGAATTAACCTATGGGGGATGGAAAAATAGACATGGGAGAAGTTGAGGAGAAAGAAGCAGGAGTTTGCCAGGGCATGGGCATGTGGGTGGAGAGGGAGGTGACAAACACGCACTCTGGCTCTCACAGCAGTGACAGAGCACAGCCCCTTCGCCTCCCAGGTCGTCGGCCAGGCACATTTACACAGCTGCTGGTTTGCATGTTCCCATCCACAAGCTGTTGAGAGCAGATATTTATAGCTGTTTTGCTTCATATGATTACATCACTCAGCCAAGAAGCATCAAGATGACTTCACTACTCAACTCCTCTGGCTCGTCACGCTCTGGATTCAGGGTAAGAACAGCAACAGAGAATTTGAAAGATGCTGATAAGGTTGCTACCTGATTTAAGCGTGGTGCCTTTGCCTCTCAGGTTTAGGGCTGTAGGGTTCAATACATATGACACAAATTATATATAAAATCACAGATAAATAACTATAAACTATGAAAGGTAACTTCACTCATGTGGCAACTAAATCCTATAAGGGAAACAATGAAAGCAAAGCAGTGATTTTCACTCCCCCCTCCCCCCTCATATTTCATGACATTGAATCTATTTGAATTCTCCCCCCACCTCCCACCCACTAGGACCGTGTAAAGCTTCAGTCCCTGATTCGATTCGGCGGAGATTCGGCCCGATTTGGTGGCCAAATCTCCAAATCCGAATTGAATCAGCGAACCCTTTAATTTCTCCAAATCAAATTCGAACCCTTCAAATTGATTCAGAGAGATTTGGAAAGATTCAGCAATTCGGACATAGACACACCTTTAAATGTTTTTTCTATGTATCTCTAGGTAGCAGGTGGTTTGTGAGTACTGTGCTGCTGGGGTGCATGGAGCATCCCACAGGAGCGCAGGGGGTCCCCAGTGTGCTTGGCAGCAGACCAGAAGTGGACCAGAAGCACTTCCAGTCCACTTCTGGGTCCACCATGGAACATGCTGTCCCCTCCCCCCCCCCCGCACCATCCCAGCTTGGCGACTGGTGGCTTCTGGGTCCAGAGAGGGTGGTATCTGAGGCCAAAGTACTTCCAGTCTACTTCCAGGTTCACCGTTGAGCATGTCGAGGGTCCCGCCACACTCCTGTGGGATGCTCCATGCGCCCCAGCATTGCAGCATTCACAAGCTGCACTGGTACCTCAAGGTATATAGAAAAAACATGTAAAGCTGTGTCTATGGCCAAATCACTGATTCTCCAAATCAGCATCGAGTCTTCAGATTCGGATTTGGCCAAATCGAATTGGGGACAGTGATCCGAATCAACGAATCAAATCACTGTCCCCAATCTGGCCCGGATCTGAATCCAAATCAAATAGAACCCGCTTCGCACACCCCTACCACCCACCCCTTCCCACGCAGGCTCCCGTGGGGACACTGTGAGGAATCAGACTCCAGAATCCCTGACCGTGTCCCCAGGACAAACAGCCACCATCAAATGCAAGGCCATTTCATGCAGTTGTACTAGTGTAGCCTGGTACCAACAAAAGTCAGGACAACCTCCCAAGCTCCTTCTCTAAAACACCAATACCGGCTCCTGTGGGATCCCAGACCGATTCAGTGGCACCAGGTCTGGCAGTGACTACACACTCATCATCAGCCAGGTGGAAGCAGGCAATGCTGGATATTATTACTGTCAGCAGTATGCAGCTTCCTTCTTCTGCAGTGATGCAGACCGGTACAAAACCCCTACTGCTGGGTTCGGCTTCTGTTGGGATCTGCCTGGCTTTGAGCACTTCGTTGACCAAATCACACTTGCCTTCAATCCAAGATCTCCTGCCATATGCAAGTATTACCTTCCACCACAGTGGATAGAAAATGGTGCTTTAATTTATTTTTTTTTAAACAGTTCTTTTATTTAAATCAGATTTTTTTTTATTAACTTATACTTAAGTTTTCCTTTTTAAAAATAAACCAGTTTAAAATGAAATTTGAATTTAATGCAGCATAAGCCAGGGTACACATTTAGTATTATCTATTAAAATAATTTAAATAAAATAAGATGTTGAGTCAATGAGCTGCTACTGAAAATTTGCGAGCTAAAGGCTTATTTTCTTCTATTTAAAAATAGGGTGGGTGGGACACCGACCCCTGCCCCTCCAGTGCCAGGGGTGAGCTTCTACCGCCCACCCACTCCGAATGTGCTGTGCGTGCTCACGTGGAAGATCAGGATCACCCTCATGAAACCCTCTGCCTCTCTGACATGGTTTCGATGAATTAGGAGAATCATGTTCTGTACAAGAAATAAGGACTCAGAGGACACATCCCCACATCCCCTCTCCTGACCCTGAGGCCACCACACACCATATACATCCAGTCTGCCCCTTCTCTAACAGAAGCATGTGAGGCACGTTATTCAGCAGGGAAGGCAGAACTGGATGACTGCCATGGGCTTGGAAGAGGCTTGAGTGTCTACCCTAGGGACTGGGGCCCCTGACCATTAAAGGGGCTGCTCTGGGGATGCCGTGGCAGACACATGTCTCAGAAGGGCAAGAACTAAGAAAAAGGGAAAGGGAGGAAACAAAGAATACAAAGTTCTGGAAACAAAGAATACACAGTTCTTGGTTGGCCCTACTGTAGATCTGCAGGAACTCCACTGGGGGCAATGGGGATAAACTATTGTAAAGTAAGTAGGTGCTGAGACAGAGAAGAATTTGGTCCCTGGAATGGAAAAATCCAGGGTTTCCTTGAACGTGTTTGTAGTGTTTGCTACCAAGAAATGGTATCTGAATTCACAGAGCAGGGCTTCCTCTAGTCCCTTCCTTCCAGCCTGTGCCATGGGCCCCAGGGAAGGCACATTAACATAGAGCCGCTGCTTTGCATATGGCCAACCCAGCAACAGCATCCTGCTCTGGGGAGCTGCTATAAAGGGGCCAGTTTAATGCTTGGTGTCACTCAGTTTGGTGTCAGTCAGTGCAGAAGCAGCAAGATGATCTCTCACATTCAGCTGCTCTGGCTCTTCATGTTCTGGCTTCATGGTAAGAACTGGTACAGGAAGGCTATTAATGCAAAATTATAATTTACTAACTAAAATGTGGTGCTGACCCATGCATGATATCATTGGGGGGGATTTCTTTTTATGGGGTGAAATAATTCCTTACCGCTGACCTTCTACAGATACATCTCTACAAATAACTCTGAAATGTCATTTTTCTTGTGGCCATTATTTCCTTTGAAGGGTCTCATGCTCATTTCATGTAATCCATGTTCCCCCACGCAGGCTCCAGCGGAGACATCCTCATCACTCAGACTCCAAAGTCCGTGGCAGTGTCTCCAGGGGACACAGTCACCATTAAGTGCAAAGCCAGTTCCAGTGTTAGCAGCAGCAATATGCACTTCTACCAGCAGAAACCAGGGCAGGCTCCTAAGCTCCTGCTCTATAGCACAAGCAGCCGCCCGTCTGGGATCCCCGCCCGGTTTAGTGGCAGTGGGTCTGGCACCGACTACACTTTCACCATCAGCCACATGGAAGCTGGTGATGCTGGAGATTATTACTGTCAGCAGGGTAATAGCTGGCCTCTCACAGTGATACAGAGCAGTACAAAAACCCCTCTGGACTTCTGTGGTTTTTTGTTCCTCTGTTAGTACAGCTGCTTCCTCCTTCTCACCATCTATTCTATCCAGTCTTCCCCTCAAGAGCCGCTATGGAAACCTCACACCTTTCACTTACTCTCCCTTTCAGCATCTTGTTCCTTCCCTTTATTTCTTCACCTACCACCAAGCACTAAGCCCCAAGACCCCAGCTTATACTATTTCTTCCTTTGCACTCATTTGGTCACTGGAGCAACTTCTCAAAACAGCCACAAGTTTGGAAATTTTATTGGGCAGCACAGCCGATCCTACTTTTCACAGTTCTTTGCAGGTTAGTGCATCAACACAGCAAAATGAAAGATTGCAGCCTGAGGAGTCTCAGTCTCCACAGCTTGGGGATCCATAGAAGGAGTGGGGTATGGGCTCGTGACACAATATGTGCCCAGAGCCCCCATGCATATGTATATGGTCCAGTAGCCATTAATATGTGTATCTGTTCCCATGATGTGCAGTCTAACAGTACAACGGGTGTGCCAGCTCAAGCTGCAATCGCACCTTCAGATTGTTGTGTTCCCTTTAATATAGACTCCTGTGAAAAGCTACAAAAAAGAAAAGAAGGCAAAAAGAAACACTGAAATAAAATACCTGATTCCTACAGGGCATCGTGCATTCTACAGTGGGCACCGGAGGGAAAGA